AGATGTATTCTGGAGCGTCTGCCTGACGCATAATGAACTTATACAAGAGAACAGCTACAGTGGAAATGTGTGAAGTTTTTTTTTTACTATCATTTTAAATCAACTCATTTGCTTAATGAGTGTTCCTTTGTAGACGAACAAAGTAAATGTGGGAAAACACAGTTTCCCCGCAGCCTGCTGCTGTTTACTCAGGATGATTTGATCCTTTCTCAGGAATCATAAATGCTTATGTAGAATATTACGACACCCTCTCTGTGCAGAATACCAAAACTTTGTGTAGATTCTTTTATGTAGCAAAACATTGTTTTGCTTTATTGTTTTCATATCATTTCAGAATCCCTCAGGAACAGCTAGACTCATTTTGTTGCAAATTTCTACACAAATAATAAAAACTCAAGTCCATAAAAATAAGTATTTCTTAACTGAGCTTTATATACAAAAGAAACAGAATTCCCAATCACTGGTTTTACCTGTTGTTTCCCTTTCTAATCATCAAAAGTGATCAGAAGACACTTCCTTCACTTTGTGCACCAGGTTTGCATGGTGTCTATCTCCAGCTGTCGTTGGTTGACACAGGTAGCCAATCAATCACAGTAAATTGTATTCCTCCAATTGAAAATAAAACCTTGTATAAAAAACAAAAACAAAAAAAAAAACATGTTGAGGTGCTGATGTGTGGATGGTTTCATCTGGTTCACTCCTCTGATGAAGGACCAAAACCAAACAGTAAAGTTGACGTTCTGTGAAAAACAACAATGACCTTTTGCTGCCCTTAGTCTGTGTGGTTCAAAAATAGTCTAAGGTAGAAATAATTCAGTTTACTTACAACAAAGGGACAATACATATTGAATATTTGCATCTAAATACATAAGATTATAGCCAAATGGCTACTTTCTATCTCTCGTCCCACTGGTAGGTTGGTTCTAAAAATAATAGTAATATATATATAAAAAAAGAAACACAATAATAAGAAAAAGAACAAATAAATATAACACTACAGTAAAAATGAAGTAAAATAGACAATAAAACCTAATGGGACATGTTGAAATATAGTCAGGCTAATTTGGCCTTGCAGGCTCCCATACATTTTCTTCCAGGATTGTTTTTCTATGAACTTTGACCTGCTGCCATGTCCCTGTTGAAAAAAAAAAAAAAAAATCATCACCATAGCAACTCTCACTTCACTTAATTTCAGTTTATTTACATACCAATCTGAATTTATTTTCTAACTCTGGAAGTTAAACGCTCTCATACCTTTTTTTCTTCAACCTGGTACGTTTATGTTTTTTTATTCTATATCGCATTTCAAAATATTTAACCTTAATTAGTTTTACACAACTTTCATATGACATGGCTCCTGTTCAAGTCATGTACTCTTTAGTGCAGCAGGTGAAGCTTCTTCTTTAGGATCATTTGTATAACTCTGTTATGTGTTTATCATAAAACGTCCGGGCGCTACACCTACACGCTCTGGAGTTCTGCTTTCCGTTTACCTCACAATAGCACGGTGAATAAACTGAGTAACAATGTTAGAAATTGTTTATATTCTCTTCAGGATGAATTTGAAAATAGATCCTCCACTTCTAATGAACCAAAGAAACCTTTGTGTAATGCACTGACATGACGTCTTTCACAGAATCCCGTCCTGTTTGAATGATCAAATCTTGATGTTTGCTGAGCCGTGTTCATTTTATTTTAAAGGGGACATATTAGGCAAAATTCACACTTTGCACATTTTTGTTCTTCCTTTGGGTTTCTACTGCTTCTAAAAATAAAAAATAAAAAAAAAACAGCCCAAGATACTAAAAAAAAATAGCATTAAGTCATTCTCTTTAGTGTCTGGAAAATAACCCGTTTCAAAAACCTCTGGAATTTAATGTCACAAATCACCAGGCACTGCCCCTCACCTAGCAACCCATGCTGAGCTTCAGGGTGGTATAGTCAGCTGGTTTTACCTGTGTACAATGGCTGCTGGATACAACACATTTTATTGGTGATTTACCCTCCAGAAACCACTCATTGTATTCTTGTTGGATCTGCAGGAGACTCTACTAATGCTTTTCGAAGATGTTGTACCCCAGAAGGTGTTTTGGCATCACCTTGTTGGTGATACTGGCTGGTAGTGAAACAGCTCCGTTATCGACAAGGGCTAAGAGGCCAATATATGCGAAAAGCAAAGCATTACTCCAAAACAAACACCAAAAAGCTACATTGTAGTTTGCAAATACACACTGGGACAAAGACATTCAGTTTTGGAGGCATGTCCTGTGCTCTAATTAAATAGAAGAGGAAATGTTTTTGCCATAATGAGCATTGTTACATGTGGAGAACAAAGAGAGACACCAGTAAGCCTGGGAACAACACCGTTCTAAATGTGTATGGGAGTGGCAGTGTCATGTTGTGGGGCTGTTTTACTGCAGGAGGAACTGTTCCATTTCACAAAATACCTAGAATTTTGCCTCACTTATATAGAGGAGCAAAGCTGACATAATAAAAAATAAAAGCATAAATATATATTTTGTTTTTCCTTGTCCTTACACATGCGTTTACACTTCTATTTTTTATTACGCCAGTTTTGGTCCTCCACACATTAACACCAGTTCTGTCAGGAGGAGTAGCGGGTCTTCTGTGCCCTTTTCATGTGAACTTCTATTTTCAGTTGTATATTTAGTTCTTACCACCTATAAACATGGATCAAATCATTTGAACTTTAACTCCTCTGGGCACCGGTGGCCTGGTTTTTTCTTTTATCTAATCTAATCTTTCTTTGGCTCATATCAGTTAATCTCCCTTGACTTGTGTCATGCACTGAGCCAAAACAAACACTTTTGAGAGAGCCGTGAGGAAAAGCATGACACTTGTTCGGTTGCACTTTATTTGACTGGATGTGCATAAGACTGACACAGCACCTGTCATGAACGTGGAGGAGCCTTTATGAATGTCTATGACTGTTGTCATGAAGTGTCATTCGCTAAATAATGACACTTTTAATGCAATGTTGCTCTAAAAGTTGCACTGAAAATCCATTAAATGTGCCATATTTTAATGGACTTTCATAAAGACTCCATCTTCATAACACACGTTAAGTCATGTTTATGACAGTGTCATGTCCGTCTTATGCACACACCGTCAAATAAGGCGTTACCGTTTGTTCTATGATCAAAGTTTTTATCTTTCAATGGTAGGTCGCGGTAGGAGCTTGTCCTGCTACTGGTGGGTCAACGGTTCTATTCCTGCTTAGTCCACCCTTGTTGTTTGTGTCCTTGGGCAAGACACAGCAATAAACACAGAAAACTCACGTGCTCAATATCTATACTGCCAACAGCAGATTAAGCAGCACACTCTGACCTTTCAATTAAGTCATAAAAGTCTGAACAAAAACAAAAGCATAAAGTTTATTCTGTAATAGCAGTTTTTATCTCTCAAGCAGCTTTAACATTTGAACAGAATCTAATAATTAACTCTAAAACGTGTATAAATAGGTCTCTTCTCACAGTCCCTCTATACAACGATCCTTTTAGAAGACACACACATTTCTAAGAAGAATGGGGTTTCCATCAGTGATGCTTCTCATGTGTCTGGTTGTTGGGCTGTCCACCTGCCGGGCAGAAGGCGAGGACAATCAGATTCAGGTCACTGAGACCACAGAGGGAGAGCAGGAGAATCATCTGACAGAGACGGTGGCAGAGGACACAGAAACCCTCGATCAAGATGTTCAGACAGCACCGGTGGAGGCATCCGACACGGGATCCCCAGAGAAAGCCTGTGACCCAAACATCTACATGGTCCTGAAGGAGCTGGGAGCTCTGCAAGAGAGGCAGGAAGCCACTGCGAGGGCCCTGGAGGAAACCAACAGGAAGCTGGAAGCCAGCGAGAAGAAGGTCGACGTCCTTAACAGCACGCTGACGGAGATGAGGAGGACTTATGAAGGTAAGAAAAAATTACAGTAAAATAATTCTAAAAAATGTGTTGTCTAGAAGTTGCAACAGCACGGCTTTAAGCTTTTTTTTTTTCCATTGTTTGTCGACATAGCAGCAGAAATTCAGTTTATACCACGATGACTTTTAGCTTCAGGACAATGTGAGTCCTGTAGATACACCATTATTGGAAAACCATTGAAGTTTATGGCTGAAACGTGTAAAATATCCAGATTTCCTCAGTAGCATCACTTGTGTTGAACAGTTAATTACAATATGAGAGAGAATCCCTGTTAATCTGCTACAGGTGTGATCTCTAAATAGCAAAGATGTTTCCTCAATTATTTTTCTGTTTTCTTCATTGTCTTTAAACTTCAGAACAACACCAGGTTGCATTTTCTGCAGCGATGCCAAAAGAGGGGACCATCGGTCCCGTGAATGTTCTGTACCCTCTGGTATACAAACACGTTCTGTCCAACATTGGAGGCCATTACAGCCCAGTGACAGGTCAGTGTTTCATCTATGAATGTTCTTGAAAATAATTTTTTTGTTTTCAAACCTCATAGACATAAATTCAACAGTTTTTAAAATTATTTTAAAAGTGATGGTTCCTTCTTGCAGCAGATTCATCTCTGATTGCTTTATTATTATTATTATTCTCTGCAGGATACTTTACGGCACCCGTGAGAGGAGTTTATTACTTTTCTTTTTCCTCATTTTGTTGGGCGGGTGATGGAACCTCTGGCGGAAGTCTTTACCGAAACGAAAACAGAGTTGTGTCATGGTACGGTTACAGTAAGACTGACCCAATCTCTGGCTCTAACAGCGCCATCTTGCTGCTGCAAGCAGGAGACATGGTCAACGTCCGGCTCTGGGACGGGAGGAAAATAAGTGATAATGGAAACAGGTACTCCACATTCAGTGGATTCTTATTGTCACCAATGTAAACACAAAGAAAACAGAAATGGCTTTTTGTGTGGAAATTGTAAATATGTTTTCTACTTTCTAGTGTAATATCATGTCCTTATACATTTTTAGCCGACAATACACCTTTGTAATACATGTATTATCCAATTAAATAGACATTCATCATTTGAAAATAAAGTTTGAAGCTTAATTTCTCATTGTCCAGTTTCTAATTTAATGTGCGTCATCTTAAATAGTAGAGAAATGAAATGAGATTGTGAAACTTTTAATTACACAACGATCTATTTTCCATATCAACATTCTTTAAAAATAAAGGACATTTGCATGTCACCTTAAACAGAAAACGGTGTGTGTGTTTTGTGATAAGTTAATGACTCAACAAGTACATTGAGGTTTGAATGTTTAATTAGTACAGAAAAGTGAGAACTTTACTGTACATTACAGTGATAAAGAGTTAATAAAATTATGTATATAAATTATTGCTTTTGAGTCAATGTAGTTAAATACAGACTTGGTTCAAAATCATTAAAGTTCCAGTGCTAGATGTACATGACCTTAATCATGATTTAACTGGTAATCAGACAAATATTTATATTTCCTAATTTCCAACACTTTGTGTTACACTGACTTTACTGTGAAACTAAAATTGCCCAAGAAAAACCAACAAAGATCGTGTTCCACACACACATTATATATATATCTATATATAGATATATATATATAAATTTCAATTAAAGACATTGTAAACACATACTGTGTTGCTTAAACTTGTCCTGTTTACTAACTTTTCTTGTAAGTGCAATCATTACTTTGGAGAAAGAAAAACCCACGCATGTGGAGGACTCCATTTTGACTATCAGCTCCCATATATACAATAACAATTATAACTGTGATAGATCAGTAGTTCTTTAACTATGTCCTAAAATACAGTGGGCATTTAAACTGCCATTATATCAAATTTACAAAGAATCATCAGGAAAATTAGAGGGTTAAAAAAAGAAATGAGCAGAGTTTTCTCTGACAGTAGCATTTAGCTTTAGCTAATTACATTTAATTAACTAAAAACATTAACAGATTAATGACTTTATGAAGCTAAAAATGATTCAACACTTTCTTTTTTTTTTTTTTTAAATGTGGAATTCATCAATTTCTCCAACAACTTTTTAAGATGAAACTTTTTTCTGCTGGTGTACTCTGTCATTACAGATAGATCCTTTAATTAAGACAAATCAACATTTTCCTCCAATGAATGTCTTTTGTCCAGTAGAATTACAACAATGACTACATTGTCATTCTGTCGGAGGCAGGCCGAGTTCTGGTTGAGTCACTTCTACCCAGCTGACGGCGCCGCTCAGTAGTCAGCCATTTTATTGTACCCTAAAAGGATTCTATAGAAGTTGTTTAACATTTTGACAAATGTCTAGAATCCTTACATGCTCATATATCCTACAAAGCATTCTTATTGATTTGCATAGATCTGAACACATTTCACAATAAGATACAAAAAAAAAGCAACCAAACAAAAGAACATTAACCAAATGTACCAGTGATAAAGGAGCTTTACAGATAAAGGGACACGCAAAGGAACTGCCTGTTCCTGCTCAGCTGAAGGTGATGAGGTATTCTGGGTAGGCCTGGTCGTCATGGAAGACTATAAACATCGTAGGCTGCTGCGTGTTGTCCACCAAACTGTCGAAGCAGTCAGTGGGGTCTGCACCTCGGGGAGGGGGAGCTTTCATGGAGGATTTACCCAGTGTGTAACGGCCGGTGAGAACACGAGCAACATACAGGCGCTTCATTCCCGATTGGTCTGGTGGTGAAAAACGCCTTGCAGAGTATTCAGCATTGACCGCAAAGTAAACTCCTTTTCCGTATGCAGCAGCTGCAGGAAAAATGACAATGAGAAGATTT